GGCTGGTGGGATATTGAAGAGCTTTGCAATATGATATTGGTCAAAATTATTCTGAAATTATCCAATAATTAGTTGTTGCAGTTTTTGCAGATATGTTGCAGATAATTCAGCCACTAAAAAAGTTTGTATACATCTTTTATACAACTCACTCAAATAGTAGAATGGAATGTCATCCTATTTATCCAAAGAACTTTAACTCCTCAATCAGTTTCCACATTGGTGCTTCTAACACCATTTTTTAGAATAAGGTCAGTGAATGTCCATTTAGCTGGTTGTGGTCCTCTGTAAAATGCGAGGACAGAAAATGCAGAAATATTTAAGAGCTGAGGCTTTTCCATGTTGCACTGATTGTAGCTGTAGAATTAAAAGATAAACATGACTGGGAAAAGCCTCCAGAAACCACACAAAAGTTGTGATACAACAAATACCTTCTACACTTAAAGTTAAGTCACAAAGCAAATATCTCAGAGGAGACTTTTAAACAGAATTCAAATCAAGTGAAAATACATGTCTCACACAAAACAACTCATATAGATATGTTTTTAAAAGCAGCTTGTCTCTCTGTATTTTGCTCATGACCGCATGCTGCTGTTGGCTCATGCCTACAGGCTGCACATTTACAGAGTTAACTGCCAAACTCTGTGCCTGGATTATGACAGATATAAACTAAAATCAATTAATACAGCACAACCACCTTTGCCGAAGATGATCACCCTTACTGTTTTTTTAACATAAACATTGAAAACTGCGACACCAAACTGAGTAAGCCTCAACTCTTGGCTAGAGTCATTTGGGGAATTTGCTTCCATCATTAGAGTATGTTGCTTCACAGATGTTCACTTCGAAGTAGATGCTGGAGATGTCTCCAGGCTTCACAAAAAATTGTTGCTAGACTTCCTAGAGTGCTTGGCCTCATTGTAAACCATTTCACAAAAACAGGAAATGCCCGTGGCACTAGTGCACATATTTTTTTCCTCCGTGCCTCACAAAATGTTTTACTGTGACATCAGAGCATTTAGTTGTGTTACATGCACTTAGATACTTTCTTAAGCAGATGGAGCATTGTTACAGGAGCTAAATCAACCCCAAATACATCCTCAGTTGAAATGTACATCAATCCATACTTGTCCTTGTTTCTATATTTGAAGTAACTTACAGGCCAATAACATCTATATATGGCCCATATTTTTGAAGATGACAAAAAAGTAGGAATTGATCCAATATGCCACTATTTAAAAGAAAGATATGAAAACTGACAAGCATTTTTACAATTGGGGAAAGCCAAGGCTAGAAATTACAGTGTTTGAAAATATATTATGATGAAAAAATGCCCGGATGGCAAAACTGGAGGACTAAGAATAGTCTAAGAACAGTGGTACCTGCTTCTGGATATGGAAGGCTTTGGGTGTTGCATTAAATTTATTATTTTATTTCTTGAAATGCATTGTTTTAAAATCATGAAAACTGTAACTGCCAGAAAGGTTGTTCTGTCAGTAGATGGCAGCTGTGTGCGCAGGAGTAGCTATTTGTGATGGAGTGTGAGAACAGCTGAAGAGTTTACGATGATAGTTTTCAAAATGTGCATGTGACAACATTTTCAGTCAGGGCATGTTCTGAAAGACTTTAGATGTCAAAATTACGTTATGCTGAGCCCCAAAGCTACCTGTACATAAAACAGGTTAGTTTATTGCTAAAAGTTTGTTCTTTAGCATATTTACTTGCCATTGCTGTTAGATAATCACTTTTTCAAGTTACTGAGAAGAACAAATGACTGCATGTAGTCGGCTTTTCAACTAACAGGCTACTGGTTATAAGTCTCTGAGTACAGTTATACTCGAAGACTTAAATCTAACAGCCTGTTAGTTGAAAAGCTGGCTGTGTTTTACTTTTCAACACACTGATTGGCTATATACACTATATTGCCAAAAGTATTTGCTCACCCATCCAAATTATCGGAATCAGGTGTTCCAATCACTTCCATGGCCACAGGTGTATAAATTCAAGCACCTAGGCATGCAGACTGTTTTTACAAACATTTGTGAAAGAATGGGTCGCTCTCAGGAGCTCAGTGAATTCCAGCGTGGAACTGTGATAGGATGCCACCTGTGCAACAAATCCAGTCGTGAAATTTCCTCGCTCCTAAATATTCCACAGTCAACTGTCAGCTGTATTATAAGAAAATGGAAGTGTTTGGGAACGACAGCAACTCAGCCACGAAGTGGTAGGCCACGTAAACTGACGGAGCGGGGTCAGCGGATGCTGACGCGCATAGTGCGAAGAGGTCGCCAACTTTCTGCAGAGTCAATCACTACAGACCTCCAAACTTCATGTGGCCTTCAGATTAGCTCAAGAACAGTGCGCAGAGAGCTTCATGGAATGGGTTTCCATGGTCGAGCAGCTGCATCCAAGCCATACATCACCAAGTGCAATGCAAAGCGTCGGATGCGGTGGTGTAAAGCACGCCGCCACTGGACTCTAGAGCAGTGGAGACGCGTTCTCTGGAGTGACGAATCGCGCTTCTCCATCTGGCAATCTGATGGACGGGTCTGGGTTTGGCGGTTGCCAGGAGAACGGTACTTGTCTGACTGCATTGTGCCAAGTGTAAAGTTTGGTGGAGGGGGGATTATGGTGTGGGGTTGTTTTTCAGGAGCTGGGCTTGGCCCCTTAGTTCCAGTGAAAGGAACTCTGAATGCTTCAGCATACCAAGACATTTTGGACAATTCCATGCTCCCAACTTTGTGGGAACAGTTTGGAGCTGGCCCCTTCCTCTTCCAACATGACTGTGCACCAGTGCACAAAGCAAGGTCCATAAAGACATGGATGACAGAGTCTGGTGTGGATGAACTTGACTGGCCTGCACAGAGTCCTGACCTCAACCCGATAGAACACCTTTGGGATGAATTAGAGCGGAGACTGAGAGCCAGGCCTTCTCGTCCAACATCAGTGTGCGACCTCACAAATGCGCTACTGGAAGAATGGTCAAAAATTCCCATAAACACACTCCTAAACCTTGTGGACAGCCTTCCCAGAAGAGTTGAAGCTGTTCTAGCTGCAAAGGGTGGACCGACGTCATATTGAACCCTATGGATTAGGAACGGGATGTCACTTAAGCTCATATGTGAGTCAAGGCAGGTGAGCAAATACTTTTGGCAATATAGTGTATGTCAAATCGGAAGCCAAGAAAAGTATATAAAACCTGTCAAATGTACTGTGTAAATACAAAATTAATGTTTGAACTAATTGTTTTATCTTATTCTTTTAGACTAAACCCGAATCAATGGAGTTTAATCCCTACATCATGTGGCCCCTAAAGCTGAGCCCTGCTTCTGATGCAGAGCAGGTGTGGGAGGTAACACTGCTCACTCACCGACACACATGCACACACACACGTTCCCCACTGAGAAGGTTCATATGGCCATAATTACACTCTTTCCATAGCTATGGGAAGCAGGGTGACTGCGGGTGGGAATAGAGGAGAGATGCGCAGCGGGCAGCAAGGAACAATGTGCTAAAGGGAGCTCAAAATCAGCCAACCAAGGGCCACCGCCAGGGCTAATTACAGAGTGAACATGAATAATGATAAATCAGTGCTCTGTTGGTCTGAAATATGCAGCATTCTTTGCACAGTCAGTCAAAGTCTGAGTCTGATCACCCATAATGCTTGCTGCTCAAAAATGACAGCTGACGAGTGATCGTTGGGATCTTTTCATGATTGTGAATTTATCATGAAAATATATCAGAATTTTTAGTATTTACATGTGCACTGTATTGTTGTTTACGAATGTATTTGATTTTGAGTATGATTTTCTAAATGTAAATTGAAACTGAAACGAAAGCATTGGCCTGTTAACACAAACTTTATTCAAATTGAACATTCATACCATGAGATGAGTAAAACTAGGACTGGACAGAATTAAACAGAATTCAAAATTAATCTTCTGCATGAGCAAAATTTCTGTACAGTTTTATAAAAGTGCTGGGCCACAGAGGCATTTTTAGAGAGTATTTGCTCTTTCCAACAATTTAATACTGTAACATCTGTAATTGGTTTCAGGGGACGTGGGGACTGATCTAAAGTTATTTCATAAAGTGTCATAAGGAGACTTTCTGGTGATGTTTCACAGTAAGTCACCACTATACAGACACATGTCGTTCCAAATATGTACAACAGCCAGCATTTCACCACTGTTTAAGTCTCTGGAATGGTTGAAATAGTCATTTCTCCAGTTTAACCTGAGGAAGCATAGTAACAGAAACGATTCTGCTCTGGAGGTGAACCACCTCCTATACAGACCCCAACAGTGGAATATGCTGTTTCTTCCCCCCCAAGACCAACTATAAAGGCTCTGGCTGAAGTGGTGGGAGTTTGAGGAGCTGTCCAAATGCTGAAAGAGCACCAAACATCCTCTCAGTTAATTATAGCCTAAACAGTGTCAGGAAGTGTCCTGATTTCTGAGTTTGAGAGGATTTTCTTTATTGTCCATCTTATTGTTATATCTAATATAAAGAAAACCGCACTCTTGGTTGCTTTAGTTGAAATATATAAACTACGTGAGAAGTGATGGTTGGCAGTAGATGGGTTTTCACGCCCTAATGCTCTCAGTTTGCTGTTAGAGCCAATTTGGGCTAAAATAACCGTCCAACCACCACAAATCAATACCCTGAAACTACACTGAATGACAGCAGCAGCTCCGCTCTGTACAGTAAGAGAATGCGGACGGGAGGGGTGGAGTTCACTGCATTTACTTTTCAAAGCTCCTCTGGCTCAGGGAGCAGCTCCTTCTCATTCTTTGTCCGAAAAACGACGGAGTTGGTGTTGATGCTCCATGCCATGTGATCCCAGTTTTGTTCAATCAATCGTCTCGTATAGCTGCAGTCCCCACTGAAACTTTCCATGCTGTTGCCCGTCCAGCTGACGGCATCTGCGAGGTTTGTGTGGACCGTGCTCGCTGGTGCTCGCTTTGCTGCTGCGCTCCGGTTCTTCACTCTCGGCTCTCCAGGTTCGCAGGGACTTGCGCGGCCACAGGAGCTGGCCTGGCTCTTACGCACGCATGGAGGGAGACGTTATGGACAAGGTGGAGGCCACGGCACCGGTCTGTGACTTCGACCCCATCAATGGGAGCATCCCCGCCACCAAAGTGGAGATCACCGTGTCCTGCAGGTGAGTCCAGTCCGGCACTGGTGGGGCTGTGCCAGCGCGTGGTCTGCCAAGCCCCCAGCGTCATAGGGATATTTTTTAGGCGATATTTTAGATGGGACGTTTTAGGCAAAGAGTTGATATTTGTTCATTGGGTTTTTAAAATGAATGCCATTTATATTACAGAAAATATCAAACTTCTAGTAAAATGTCGATTCCATGTTGGCAGTTTCCTCCTCTGCCCAGATGCACAGGCGCGCGAGGATTAGGAAAGGTTTCCGTGACACTAAAACGCTTATTTTCTTTGAACATATGGGAAGTGAAACAGAAAATGAACGGTTTCAACCCTGCACTGCAGTTATGGTAAAAGTTTTCCTCGACCAAATGAAGTGAATCAACCTAACAGAAACGAGTCTGTGTGAACTTTACGCTTTTGTTTGTGGGTTTTATCGGTCGTTTGGATCTGCTCCGTGCCTGTTCCATTCACCACAGGCTTGGGCTGGGTTGGGTCGCCGTGTGGCTTGGCGCGCATCACGTCGCGTTCCACAGGAGATATCGACCGTCATTGTCGAGAGGTCTCCCTTGAGGCATTGTGTCACGCGTATGCGTCTGCTGTGCTGCTGGTCCGAAAACCACAGCAGTTCACACAGAGATGGACGGAAGCACTGCCCATGCACTATCAAAAATCCCAAGGTCAATCCAACAACGATTCACTGAAAGAGTCGCCGGAGAAAAACGCCGCGAAGATGACAACAGCCCTCTTAACATAAGGGTGGGGCAGCCCTGGCTGCAGGTAGAGACGCTGCATGAAAGCTGCAGAAGCATACGAATACAGGATGCGCAATTACATTTAATACTTTTCACAGAATACCGTGCCATTTGTGTAATCCTGGCCTCCATAGCTGTGCGTAATTGTTGCCTTATAGTGTAAGAAAATCCAAGGGGAGATGCATCCATCAACCAACACACCTCTAAAAGTCTTTTGCATTATTCACCTAATCATGGAAAGGACATGAGCCGATTTTATAGATTTTTGGATTGCACAGTTTATATATTTTGAAACAAAGTGGATCAATCCGACACCAAGATGACCTTATAAGCCATTTGGGATATTAATCAGTCACATTTGAGAACAGGACAGTTAACCTTTATGAGGTGGATGGATTTGAGAATGATGGAGCAGAAAGGAGTCTGAGGGAGATGAACAGCACAGAATTTTCAAACAGAAAAAACTAAACAAAAAACTAATCTCTTACATCATATGTTTTGATAGATATTGATAACAAAATGTTGGCGAATCGAGTTCCGGAAGCTTGTATGTGAGCCTCTCAGGGGAATCTAAGGTTGTGCAGTTTTTATTCATGTGTGGGGTGTTATTAATAATACCTGGTGTTGTGTTGTTTCCTTTTGTTACGCAGTGTTGTTTTTTGCCCCCCAGACCTTCTTACTTTGAGCCAGGATCAGTGCGGATGCCCTGAGGCTCTGTTGATCTGCAGCTCCCTTGTCTGTCATTAATGTCTCTCCAACCTTGCTCCTGGTCACAAAGTTATAAAGAGAAAAGAAATGCTTTCAGCGGCTCTGGAAACATTTTCTGCCTCGAATTCCAAGACTTCAGTCCCATTTGCTCTTCACTGTGACTCGTGGACAGATAAAAAAATCAGAACGCACAAAGTAAGTCGTGCAGGAAGCCAGTCCATCAACTCATCAGGGTGAGAGGGGGCACTCTTTCCAATAGATACGTACAGAAACAATGAGTGTTATGAGGGAGAGGGGCAGACGCTCCACAACCCTGTGTAATTGATTTAGCAAGCCTGAAAACTCTGAGATTGCATTGCACATAGCAGAGCCATACCATGCAGCCCTCCAGGCATTCTCATAACCCTCTGCCAATATTGCGGCAAGCCCCATGATGAACTGGAGGGACTGAGGCAGACAGCCGCTTACCAAAAACAAAAGGCGCACATCACCGTGATGGCGCGCTGTTTTCTGTATAAAACTCTGATTGGCTTTGCTCACCGGTCAGTCGGTGAGCTGTTCCTCGAGTGCCTAGGCTTCTTTTAAAACATAACGATTTCTTTACAGCTCGGTGATGAGGTGGTTCTTCACACTGAAGTGGCCTCTCTTCCCACATCTGTCTCAATGAACATATTCCTGTGTATCCACTTCAGTGGGTTAAGGTTCGTGCTCCCCTGGTGTTTTACAGGCTTGGTCCACCCCTTAAGTGTACCTAATGAATGTGCTCATGATTAAAAATTCTAGGAAGCTCAAATCAATGTTTCATTAGTAGTATGCTTTAATTATGAGCAAAATCATACATGAGAATTCTGCTGGATTTTTGATAGGAACCATTGTATATTTCATCTGTCTAGGCCCTCCCAGAAATGGCATGTGCAATGGCTTTAGGTTCGGCAGAATTTGGCTTTAGCTCTGTGGCTCCAGTGTGAAGAACTCTTTCTGTTGGAAGAAATATGCACACTGATGAAAACCACACAATGCCCAAAGGCTTAGAATGCAAAGCTTCATTTATGCAGGATATCTTTTTTTCACTCTGTTTTTAATGGTCTGTCACAGTACCAGCAGATGTTCAGAGTGTTAGTGATGATTGTAAACACGGTCTTTCCGAGTGAACAGAATGTAGGGGGGATCTTACTAAGTATGAAAACCCAGGAAAAATATTTACAAGCCTTATCAGAATAATGTAGGATTTGGCAGAAGGTGGTGGAATTAGCGTCAGAATGATTCTTTTTTTTAATCCATTATTTGTTTTCTCTTTACACATTTAAAAAAAAAAGTCACTGAACAATTTCATAAAGAGTCTGGGTATGTTGAATCACTGGTACGCATGACTTAGTCCAACAAAATCCTCAATTCAAAAACAGAGCCTGAATCATTTTCCTCTTTCCAGCCAACAAGAGTTTCGTGATCGCATTTTTACCCTTTACTATGTCAAAACACATTACAGGTATGGGGTTAAGTGACAGCAGCTGATTAAGCCACCCTCCCTTCCTCTATGCTCAGCCTCCCACCTGATAGCTCCAACACGAAACTTTATTAGGCTCCACAGCCAATTACACTGGAGCAAAAAAAAAAAACGCTGCATCTTGTCCATCCCCTCCTGATCTCTACTGTGTCTGTGGAGCTCTCCATAACCATTCCATTTTCCCAATAGATTGGTTAGGATGGCATTGCATTAAGTCACTGCATTCTGTAGATGGGGGATGTGACTCTACCAGGCTAGTCTGCTCCTGAGGGATTCATTATTTGGGGGAAAACACAAGAAGGCACATGAATGCGAGCACCCTGAAACCAAACTGATTACTGTTCTCTGGTATTGGATATAAATATGTGGCACGCTTCTTCATCTGGCCTCCTCTTAAAACAATCATTGCAGCAGAGGAAAATAAATCATAAATGCCTGATCTGTCAAAAGCAGTCACTTGAACTGGCAATTGGGATTCAAGCTGTTCAGCTAACGTATCGTTTTCTTGAATGTGTTGTAATAGCTTCTAACTCTGCTGCTGCTGTTGTGGTAATAGCTGTTGTGGCTGTTGCTCTCATTCAGTGTTGGTTACCCCTTCAGTCAAACCCTCCTTTGACCTGCTTTTTTCTGGTTTATACATTATTTTCTTTTTTGCCCTAGCAGGCAAGCTTGAGTCGAACTAGTTTTCATTGTGCAAGAGCATAAAATATTAATAAAAGACCTCTGAGAAAGAGAGACATTTCAGTTTGCAGACTGACCCGGAGCAAGCTTTCAGCTTTTATCTTGCATCGTGACGTGCGTTTGTGTTAGGATGTGCCATATCTGTTTTTGGGATCAAGATTGTGAGATTCAATGTTGTTGCAAAGAAGAAATTTCTTTCAATTTCTGAGGTTTTATGAGTGGGACTGGCCAGTCTCTCTGGATGACGAAATTGTACATAGATCAACGTTACAGAAAAATGTATATGGACTCAAGGTGTCTGTTATTAAATCATTCTTACACACTTGAGTACAGGTGAATCCCATCAACGCCTTGTTGTAGGTGACATTCCAGAGGTTGACAATTCTGACAAAAACAAAGACAGTTTGAGGTATTACAATAACGGATCAGTGTAGCCCTTTGTGGCAGAGAAAGCTGCACTTTTTCATTTTCAGAGAATCTATAAAGGTCAGCAGCACATGCCTTAAGAATTATATGTAGGGGATATTTGACCTCACATCACAGCTTGTCAGGGAAATGTACGAGCTGATGACAGATCTGTACAAAGTTTGGCACACTGCTCCCCAAAGTTTTACCACACAACTGCATATGTTGAAAGTCTTTCACTTGACAACCTAAACTGAAGTAATTCATTTAGCGTACAATCGAATGGGTCATACCGGTTCCTCTGTTTTGAAAATTAGAAATTGTGGTATGCTTTTTCAAAGCAGACTTTCAGTGTTCCTAACATGCACATGCTTTTCCAAACTCAATACATCAGTTTGAGTCTGTTATTGATTTAGTACTGTTATGTGTAACACCAGGCCAGAGCTGCCTCTGAGATATCCAAACCATGTCAAGCTGTTATGAACAGAGACATGACCTACAGAGATCCCACAGAGAGCAGACCCATTATTTTTTGTAGACTGGAATGTGTGTGTGTGAAAAAAATGTTGTTTTTATATCTTTAAACTTTGGCATTTGGGTCTTTTTTAGAGTAAACTCTAAGTTGACTTTTGAGACATGGAACAGCTTGTCCTTACCTTAAAAGTCACAGTAACTGTTTGTCAGTTACTGTTTTTTTTCAAAGTGGCTCTGCTTCTTTCTTTTCTTTGACTCGTACAACAACCTAACAGCCATCTAAAAGACATTTTGTGAAACTGTTAGAAAAAAAAGGAAATATAGGTTTGGTACAAGCTGTTGATGCATGCTCAATTCCCATCTCAACCAGTGATGTTTATGTGTTTTTTCTTTTTTGCTGGTTAAAAAGGTTTAACAAGGTTTAAAGACTAAAAGACACTAAGGTCTGTGTTATATCAGACATTAAGATACTATAATTCAACTCTTCTTTTCCTGGATTATCATGTGACCATCCCAACCCTGTTGGTTACATGCAGGATGTCTCTGAGATCCAAATCAAACAAACAAACTTATTTGCTGAAAACTATACAGTAAATGTGTCAGACTTCACAAATACTTAGTTTCTTGTTTTTCAATTATTTCATAGTTTGCTTTCAGATCAGAGTTGTTAGTAACAAAATGACCACTATTTCCACACTATATGGCGCATTCATCATGAGCTAAAATCAATTATTGACACTTTTCTTGCATACCTGCTATCATAATCAATTTAGAGATTGTGTTCTCTGTGCTCCGTCTTTGAATTAATTCATGCTCAGTTTATTTTATCTGTCTTAGATTAATGATCTGTTGCGCTCATTTAAAAGCCAAATTATGGAAAAGCTCAAGAATTCTTTGCAGCACCTTTAGTTTGTGTTGTGCAACTTACATTGTGTCAAACAGTGAAAGTGCATAGATAGTGTATGTAATTTCTTATGTTTCAGTGTTTGGAATAAAAAAAATGAGGGGAAAAATGACTTAGAATTCACATTAGACTGTGCAGCTTTGGTTATGATAGCCATATTAAGTCTGAGTGTTTCCCATTGCTCCTTGCAGAAAAAAAAGCTTTCTTTGCATAAACCCGAGCTGTCACAGTATGCAATTAGCAGTGATATTCTTCCCTAGTCAGACATTAGTTACACCCGAGAAGCCAGTTTGAAACATGGACTTGCAGTGAATGTGCATACTCATTTATCATATCAGCAGAGGAGCAGTTTTATGACTGAGATTCTGTCACTGCCGTAAGATGCCTGTCCAGGGAGTGCTCTGCTGCAGGTATCTGGGACCTGGAGAGATCCCAGGTTGAAGCTGAATAATTAAACAGATGGAGCAGAAGAAGAAGAAGGCACCTGGTGCCATCACAAGGAAAGTAATGGATCTTGCATTAATCAAAGGGACAGAATGTGCTTTGAATATTTGAGTATTTTGAGTTACAAACAAAAAACAGGTGTGCTCTGGGTTATCCCGAGTCACCATTCAGAGATTAAACCACAGCACACAGATCAAAATTATTTTCAGTAACAAAACAAGTATAATTTCACAAGCATTGCCTCCATATGTATCTCTCAAGCGTCCTCTCATGATATACCTAGCTCACTTCATCTTGCAAAGATTTCCTTGTGTAAAATTGAATATTTCCTACTGAATAATGGGATTGCTCTTATAAATGGTTGACTGGAACAGGATGCTCCTCCTCGACTGGGTTCTTTGAGATTTTGAACCGTAAGAACTGCCTCGGGGTGTATTAGACAAAGGTAGACCTACTGACTCCGTGAAGCGTGAGTGGAAAGACAATGTACGTCCTCAGTCAAAGGAGACGGGGCCATAGGGCAAAAAGACACTGAAGTGCAAGAGTAGCCCTCAAAATGCAAAGCATCACTCGCTTTCTCTTTCCAGCCATCTCCATTGCCTTTACTGCCACATCATGACTTTCCCTTCTGTTACAAGTCGAACACTTGTATTTGAAAATTTAATTTGTCATTTTTGAGATACATTAAGTCTCCAGGTCATTGGAAAGTCAGGTGCAAGACTGACTTAGTTGCTGTCTGTGCAAGGGGATTTGGACAACTCCAGGAAAGTGGGAAAATTGCTGACAGTAAGGTACTGTGGGGTGCAAACATCAATGCTACTTTTAATAGTTAAATAATTAACCACACGGATCATAGGCCTGCCAAGTTCTGTTCAAACACAAGCTGGCTTCTTGTGATATTGTTTCTAATTCACAATTGGGTTTGTAGGAAACTATTTTTATCAATGTTTTGCGCTTAAAATTAAAAAATATCTTTAATCTTGAAAGTCAGATAGTTTGCACCTTTGATTAAAGCGTACATGTATCTATTGTGTTTACTGATTTTCCCTATATTTCCTTATGTATTTGTTAATTAAAGTGTGCTCAGCCAATACTTAACTAACTGCTGGATAAACAAACATTGCTCTGATAAGGATGATTAGACAGATTAGGAAACTAATTAAAATACCTTTTCTTTCCTTCAGAATCAAAATAGATTTTCATCATTTGCATTTTTTTTGCTGATCTTAAGTGCACCGCTGACTGCTTCTTGAGCAATTAAATATTCAATTCTGATAATGCACTCTCATGTCGTGAAGGTGGTGGGTTTAAGAAAAGTAAGAAGACTGATGTTTGCCATTTTCATGAATGATGTGACATGATTGTGGTGATACCGACAGCAGGGACACTGGGACCTACCGATTTCTCCTCTGAAAGATGCTAATAAAGTTAAGCATGGTGGGAAAGAAAAACTGTTCTGTCTAATTAGAATTGTCCTACTTTCAGTGAACTTCCTCTTCATCATCGAAAACCTTTCTCTGTCAGCTTTTGGAATAATGATCCTGTTTTATCCCACTGGGGAGTGTACAGATGAAAGATTTAACTTGAAACATGCGCCATTATTTCTGTGCAAATGGACGAATTATCTTGGATATTACTGTGCTTCCTGCAGCACAGATGTGTGCTCCCTGCCTATGTGTACCATAAGAAAATTGATTAATTTGTATTTGTGCCAAAAAATATCTGTTTGTCATCATTCCTCGGTGGAAAAGAGATTTTCCAGAGAACAAATAAAGGTTCAGCACACTACATAATGCATGGCAAAGGGTGAAACGGGGCATGTTATGTTTTCCCACTTTTCTTGTCTCCAAGTGACCCGTTCTTGGCTCAGAGAGATGGGATAAAGCAATTGACAAGCAAAGTGTTGGATGTTAATGGATTACAAATAGTAACAGTTGGTCACAAAACCATGGACAGCTTTGTTATCTCCTGAGATAATTGTGCTGACAATTTTTCAGCTGTTGTCAGCCCAAGGCTAAAACCAAGTGAGGCTGTATCTGTCATTCCCTGTGACAGAGGATTTTATTTGCAGGAATTCAGAAATACATGTCCATGAACAATTTCTTGTTGCTTGGATTCAGTCCAGAAATCTCATCTGTATTCATTAAAGTCCTGCTGTCCCCTTAAGGGAAGAGGATAATTCTCAACTTTTCTGGAGCTAAAGCTCACAATCAAAAATCAGGAACAATATATCATACTGTCATGCTAATAAAAGTGTTGAACCCATCAGGAATATGTGTCATTTATAAAGTTTGACAATAACTTACTGTCTACCTTATTGTATCTTAAACAATGAGATGAAAAATCCAGTGTATAATTTTATAATCATTTGGGAAATTAAGAATGAAGAATTTCCCTTCCTCTCTCATAACAATTTGCTCTGTGTCAACGCCCTCCTCCCTGTAGCCCTCTGTTGAATGCGATTTATATTTAGTCATTTAGAACATAATTTATTTAAGGCAACCTACAACTTTGTAAAAATGTTTTTGATTTAAAATCCCTAATTATTCACCTTCACACACAGACACACAAAATACATTTTTTTGGGGGGGGGAATTGGGCACCAATATCTCACATCATTGTGATACTTTCTAAATCTGCTACTAAAAATTTGTTTAGTTGTCACAGCCTATTTTGGTTAAAAAAAGAAAAAAGAAAAAAGCTTAAACAATTAGACTTGTCAGTATTAGGCCATAAGGCTAATTAACAGTTGTAAGAACCAGATGTTAAAGTACAACATCAGGACTACGACACTTTGGTGTACAATTTTAGTTTTTTGTGGAGATAAATACATAGGCTGTGTATGCTTCTTTGTCCTGTCATTGAGCTTTAATGTACTTTTGTACTGACAGCATTTTTGCATTGAGTATTTTGTGACAGATGTGTGTAAATAGTTATACTTCTGTAAAACTGACAACATAAATGGATAAATAATAGATGTATTTGAGTTATATACTTGATATGCTTGGTTTAAATAATTGTGATTGGCCATTGTTCTCATTTCTTACAGGAATCTCTTGGACAGAGACACTTTCTCCAAATCTGACCCTTGTAAGTTTTCATTTAAAAAAACAAAGGAATCTTTTGTTGCTTTCAGTGAGCTTCATTATGATTAATTGAAACATTCTGTCCTTTAACAATGCTTCACTTTTTATTTTTGCTGAGCCTAACTTTGATTCAGTTTACTCTGCTTTTTCAAAGTATTCCTTCAATAACTGCATATCATTTGCACAGTAATGTGACAACCTTTCCTCAGTGTGAGCAAAAGTACCATAATGCATGCAGGATATAGGCGCCAGTCCCTGAATACAAATGGATTTAGGTGAGACACATTGAGAAATGCCATAAAGGCTTTTTTTTTAGGTTAAATTCCCTGCAGAATGGAGAATGGAGGAGACAATTTAAATAACATGGAAGGGGTTCAAAACCCTGTGTGTAGAGGGAAAAATATCACAGTCTCTTTTTCACATGCCTGAAGCTGATCCCTGGATACGTGACAGGCCTCATCAGTTTGACCTGTCTCAGCTTCACGTGGAGTCTCCAAGGTAGACAGAAATCATGAGAAATTTACCATCACAAAATTCATGTTATGGCATTCCGGGGAACATCAATTTGGCACTTCGCTGTGCTGTCAGGCTGCGGCAGGATAATTAAGGACCTATGTCTGCAGAGAGGGAACAAAACAAACATCATTTATTGATGACAGTGGTTTGATTGAGATTGTTCAGTAACTGTGTTTCTCCGCTTTCCCCCCTGTCTCCGTCTGTACCTGGATCCCCTTCGATCTGGCATCTCAGTGGTCGTGTTATACACCCAGGGTGTGGAATCCAAACAATGGAGGGAGGTAAGAGATCACAACTGTTTCCTCTGTGAATACAACTCAATCAGTCCATCGGTGCTTCATGACAGCCCACTCTCTTCACTGCCCCTTTTCCTCCCCCCCCTGTCTCTCAAGGTAAACACTGTGTGCCAATCTTTTGCGATTGATTGACCCTGTGAACACTGGTGTGCTGGTCAGCAACGCTTTAGCTGTGACTGATTGAGTGATTATGGTGCCAGCTACATCTTTCTATAAAGATTTTCCTCTCAGCATGAAAACCTTTGGCTGCTGGAAAAGGGGCACTAATTAGACCAGAAAGGCCAGTAAAGCTGGCAGAAGTTGTAACAAGACAGAGAACCATCCTGGTACGATCGTGTGTAGCTGGGAACAAAATAAAGTGCACTGGTTGTAACGTGACGCAAAAAGAGTTCAATGAATGAATACATTTCCCCAAATTACACGTAGTATTGCAGGCTGTTATTAGCGGCTGGGTACATTGTCAAAAAGTTAAAAAGTGAAGGTCCTGTGACAGTGAAAACAGAATGACCCAGAAAAAGAAGTGGCTTTATATGAGAAAATGAAGAAAAATGGAGGTGAAACAGCAGTGGGGATCTCCTCAGAGATGAAAACATTCAGTTCACTGAAGTTGTGACAAAAGAGTATGGACGCAGAGGCATAAGGGAGATATGACAGGGAGAGCGATATGACAGAAAGCATTTGGAATTCCATTAATCTAAAGCACACCTGCCTATTGAGAGAGCATTTTTCAGATAAATATATATAAATGGCTCTGGTTGGTTTAAGATATATTGTTTATGATCACACTTCCGTTGGAAAAGGGAACTGTCAACTGCCATGCAAAACTGGGTACATCAACACTTTATAAAAAAAGAACACATTCTGTTATTGGTTTAACTGGCACACTTTGAAGGCCTTTTTTTACGCCCGTCTTGTTAGATTCCAAATTTAATAATTTTTGGTCTGGATTGAAAAAAGGATGCGAAATGTAGTTTTTCTGCCATGTATATGAAATAATTAGTTCTAATGATTAATATGCAAGTATAGGCAGACGTCAAGAAACCACCCCCAGACCTGTCACTACCACCACACCTCAAGCTTAAAGACTACAGACTGTTTCTCCCTGAAATTCTGGAGGTGTGTTTTCAGTGCAAATGACAGCTGGCTAAGCAGCAGAGTCAAGCTGTGCAGCAGTGATAAAGATGAGCGTGTTTTTTGCCCCTGTGTGGTAATGTGTTTTGGTTGTCCTGGGAGTTGATATAGCTGGTTGGAGTACCTTTCACTTCCTCACAAACCGTCTGTAATCCAATTACTCTTATGTGGGCCAAACTCTCCCACTTGTTTTTCCTCTTCTCCTGAGGATTATCTAAGCAAATGATATGGATATGGATGTGTTTTCTACTCCACTTCCAGAGCATTTGCAGACCTTCGACCTAATTTACAATGTTTGTGGTTTGATGAGTGAAAAGCAGCATCTTATCTTTATCTGATTATTTATAACTTCTTTGACTGTTCTTATTCATACTTAAAGTCAATTTAAGTATGAAGTGGTCCGTTACCAGTTTGAAACAAATGAACAGCTGATATAGTAAAACTCTGAATTTATCTGGTAAAGAAAAGCCTTTTTTAACTTCAAATTCATAGATGGTAAACTTTTTATCAAGACACTTAGTTGCAGTTTGTCTAACCAATATTATCTAGACGAGAAAGGGCATATAGCCATTGTCAGAGTTTCTGGGTAGATTTTCTTTCTTTTTTTCCCCTCCCACTGATGTTAATGCCTTGCAACCCTGGCTTTAAATCTTAGCCATGTGCATGTGAAGGTAGGAAGGCTGTGAGGAGTGAGATCTGCTATTTCCTCAGATGGCAGATCACAGCTCTGGCTCTAAGGCCAGGGACAAGAGTGAATATGCTGTGGCCCCCCTGCTGCCTCGCTGAGAGTGTGTCGATGAAATAAGCTCCTGTCTCCTCAGTGCAGATATCACCTCCAGCATCAGCTGGAACAGAGCTCATACACTTCCCGACAAGATGTGCAAGAATGGAAATGGTGCCACACAGCACTTAATCTTTTATGGGTTTAGCTCCACTTTTCTATTTCATTTCTGGTGACGCTTCAATGAATTCAGACTCTGACTGTGTCACATAATCCGGTTTTGTTGTCTTTTTAAAAAAAAGCCATCAATCAGTTCAAAGTATTCTACTTTTGAGTTTCACTTCCAGTTTTCACCCCAGGGGCTGCATAGAGAGAAATTTTAGCCTATATCCTGCTGTTTCATCCCCCCATTAAGACCTAGCTCTGCTGCTATTAATTTAATGTCAGATTATGGTAATATTTTACCTGAGATATTTCTAAAGTTCAGCATCAGTTCCAGTCATATTGAAATGGCTAATTTTTCATATATTCAATATGCGTCTGTTTGCTTTTGCCTAGCAAGCTGCAGCACTCTTGATTTTTGACTATTTCTGAGTATTCTCATAAATGTCAGGAACATTAGTCAGTGTCTGTACTTGATGTTTAATATGTTTGATAGTTTGGTTATCCCAGGGTGTAGAAAAAAATGCTATTAAGTAAAATTATTTCTGTTGGCTGACTTATTCCTACTTAAAGACAAAATGTAGAAAAAGAAAATTGACACTTGCAATCACTGGCTTCTTTTAATTTAACATAATCTCCTCTCAATCCGTGAATTCACACAGCTGTATGGGTAAAATAGAGAGGCAGGGGATTGTATTGTACATGAGGGACTGCTTAATTTGTTGACTCAGAGTTCTTTACTCACACATTCCTTGCTTGTCTTTCCTTTCCTCTTTTCTGATCCAGTTTGGGAGAACAGAGGTGATAGACAACACGCTAAACCCAGACTTTGTCAGAAAGTACATCTTGGACTACTTCTTTGAGGAGAAGCAGAATCTCCGCTTTGACGTGTGAGTTATTCTGTTTGATCCGGCTCTCTGAGGACACGTACAGGGGTGTGTGTGTTTCAGATATGCTGCCTTCTTCTAACAAGTCCTGCAATTTATATTTCACTGTAAGGATATCCTCGTTTTTTCTCATCACTCACCCTTGTCCTTTTTCTGAATCTTCATCTCCTCTACCTCTTTTCTGTCTCTTATATTTCCCCTCTAGGTCCCTCCTCAGTAGCTCTGCTCTCTCCCAAGGAATTATTCATTGGTGCAATGTCTCAGTAGTCACTCATTTATGGGAAGATTGGTATAAGAGTCATACATATTTCAGATAAAGTTTTATCCAGAATCTCCCAGCTGCAAAGCAAAGCTAAATTTCTAAAACCAAGTCAGATAATACTCACAAAGAGCTCCATTCCCTCGCTGTCTTCCCCTTTTCCTCTTGCAAATGCCAGGCAAGCGAGAATGTCAGGAGGGTGCAGTTTTATTTGAAGTTCTCCCAGAAAAGATTCAGAGTCATTCTCTCCACTAAGCTTTTCCTCAAGGAGAACATTTATTCCTACAACAAATCATAGCCTTGGTGGACTTGATACATGTATCCAGGTCCAAATGTCCAACTTTTTAAGAATTTGTACTAATTTCTATAAGATGCATTCCTGATGCAGTGTTGGAAAGGAAAAGAAGACAGTGCATACCCTGAAAGTTAGTTATTAACTTGCATTTCTATTTGATCACAGAATTAGGTTCTTGGGTATGCCCAGTAGAATTATTTTACGTACATTTTGACTAGTAGGAGCACAAAACTTTTCTGTTGGTGGGTTGTTTCAACATATCTCAGGATAGAAATTATACCCATAAATTATTTACTGATTTACAGCTGCATTATTCCTTATGTGAGATTTTCCCTGCGCATCTTCCCTTTGTCCCTCTGATAAAGAAGTTATCTTATTAACTAGCAAAGCCCTCCTGTCAGTATATTCTCTGTTTTGTTGGTCACAGCCTTCATGGTTCAAGTTTTTTTCTTTTTCTCGCTATTACAGATATGATATTGATTCTAAAAGTCCAGATCTGGCCAAACATGTAAGTCAAGACCTTTTTTTGTGTAATAAGTAGCAACCTTTGCCATCAGCCTTTGAATTATCTGTGCATGTCTTGATATTTACGTTCTATGCAAACCAAAGTTTGAAGCATCCATAAACTCAAATATATTTTGAAAAAATGAGTGAATTGCGCTAATCTGGCAGTATGCTCTCTATGTGTCTTTACCTTTCATCTGCTTTGGAAATTAATTCTCTGCTAGTGCACAGAAAATCAAATGATCATTTGCAACTGCGAAATCATTTCTTTTTTTTCTTTTGATAAAATGAGAAATGAAGCATTGCTCATCATCACCAAAGCTATTCAGCACATTCCCATTTGTGCTGTGTTGTTCAGATTTAGATTTCCCAAGACAGCGCAGGCTTTTTGTAAACATTAGTATATTGTTTGAAAATAGCAACTTTGTCTGGAAGGGCCATCATTTATAGCAGAGCACAAGAGCAGGGAAGCTACTAATGAAGGAGAATGCATGGTGGTGTCTTCCTCATGCTGAAAGCTTTGATGAATAAAAACATATACTGCAGACAACAAACGATATATTTGACAGACTTGGTTTGCATATTACCAAATTTTTCATCATTAAATTTGTTTGTCATCCGGTTCGTCGATTGTTGTGTGTTTGTTTGCATTGTGGTTTGTGCTCTGGAAATAAACTGCTTCACGTGTAAAACTGTCTGCCTTCATCACTTTCCTGCTTATGTGCCTTTTCATTCTCCTTTGTTATTTCTTTATGTAACTTTGTGAGTCGGCTGTTTCCTTTCAGCCTATCCGCTCTCTCACATGTCCACTTTTGCTCCTCTTTCTTGCACTTGGGTGATGACAGTCTGGTATTTGAGTTATGTGCCTTTTGTTCCATGATATGCTCTGTTGTGTCACTGCTGCTGCCTGGTCTTTCTCTCTTCCTCCTCCTCCTCCTTCTTCACCCCGGAAGCCCACCGACGTTAACGTACGTGTCTGCTTCAGACCTCATAATATAAAACTGTACAATGCATAAAATAATGCTCAACTCCTCACGACTCTCCTTGTTACTCCCCGTAATCCACTTGAATGCCCCTGTCCTGCATCTTTCTCCATCCCGTGTTTTGCCCTCCTCCTTATGGCAGGACTTCCTGGGGCAGGTGTACTGCACGCTGGGAGAGATTGTGGGCTCACCTGCCAGTCGCTTGGAGAAACCACTTGTGTGAGTGTCCATTTTATTCTCGATTATCATCCACCTTTGAAAGGTCTGATAATGCAAATTAACGATTTCAACATGAGCGATCGTGTAGATTTCTAAAATGATTAGATATTTGAAACTCAGTAAAGGTTACATTGTAATAAATGTGTCTTCCTCTTGAAGCTATATGGAATGCACATTACAGTTCAAGGTTAGTGGAATAGGTAATTGAACATGACTTGTTGCTTTCTCGGTACAATCACCATCATTTGGGGGGTGATCTAGCATGAAGAGTGGATGGAAGTCAACGTGAGACACGTACTGTTATTAGCTTCACTTTGTTGTTACTTGTGAGGCATGAAATGTCGAAGCACCTCGCACCCACAGATCAGCGTGTGGTCCCCTGAGTTCTGTGTCTGCAATCAGAAAGCAAGGTGTGTTTGTGTGTGGGACGGCATGTGAAGTGTGCAGTGCTGCTGGCCTTGGCAGTGGGGAGTGGGAACAGCATGGCATTCATGCTGACCATGAACTCTGCTAAGGGCTGGCGGGCTGGATTACAGAGCTCAGTTCCCTTCAGTGCTGAATAAGAGGATGAGGAGGATCAAGAGACAGTGCTTACCCGTGTGCTGTGTACAAGGCTTCACAACTCACATCACAGGCAGTAAGGGGGTTCGGCAGCCCCGAGCAGACATGATGGAGAACAGTACCGATGCCAAAGCTTCACTTCGATCACTGCTGAAAGGGGATGATGAAAATATGGTGGCTGTTGTTATTGATCTCAGCTCACAAATGTTCATTAACTTTTTTGTATAACTGCCCACCAGCTTTTTTTTTTATCTGGCAGTAGCAACTCAAGAACACAAATTATTCCAGCAAATGTTTGGAATAGTTTTTTCTAAGTTATTTTTTTCTTGGACACCTAAAAAGCAGTCAAAAGTAATGGATTTTCCCTCTTCCTGTGGCACACTATAGTCGAGGAGTTGTTTAATGACAATGTGCTCCATTTCCTTTTCATGAAGTGACAGTGCTTCTCTGGTCCCCAGCTTTGAGGAATGGCACTTAAATGGACTGAGGAAATCTGTTAGTCATGCTTAAACAAGCTGTCCAAAGGCACACTGCGTTGGATGACCTGCTTAAGAAGCAAATCAGCACCCCTTTCCCAATTCTGTACATTTCATCTTCCATTTAGTCTCCTTCCTTCCAACCACTAGACCCTTTTTTCAATTTGACCCCCTTTTCTTTTCACTGCATCCCTATGAATATTTTTCCAACCCTCCTTCTAAGTCTTTGATGCCTTTCACACTCTCCACTAGGGTTGCAAAATGTATTGTTTCAGTTTCAACACTCCGATGTGCTCAAATTCAGAATTCACACACCGTAAAGGGACGGGCAATGTCAAGAATTGTTTCAAACAAAATTAATTCAACATGTTTAAAGCAGTCCCTTTCCTTTCACATGACTAATCTATGAGAGGGGTCTTTCTGATATAACATGCTTTACAACGACTAAAGGGTCCATGGTTCTAAAAGTACATCTATTTTTCCTTTAATTTTTACGACAAATGAAGTGTAAGAACCTGGAATTGATTGAGGGTATACTCTCTTTTTCTCACAAAGTCACAAATGTTTCTTTCCATGTCATGCTAGCGGGACCCAAACTGATCACTGAGCAACCAATAGCTGTTTTTGTTTGTCGAGCACAAAAAATAAGTGGATCTCCTCCTGATAGGAGACTTCCCAAATACTTGTCTATGGGATGGTGATATGACTTTCCTGCCATAGTTAAGTTAAACATCATGTGAGGTTTGTTTAAATTGATAGTAGAAATTAATATGAAAATTCAAATCATGGAAGGTGAGTGACGTGTTTTACTGAGTAAAATGTCCTCTGTGGTGCAGCTCTTAGGAATGGGGCCGTGTGTGCAGTCATCAGGAAGGAGACATAATATAGTTTTTGTAGGTAGCATGAAAATAGAGTTCAATAAACAAACAGCAGTAACCTTTTTGTTGGTATGGTGATTTATACCACACAGTAGAGCATGTGAATGCAGCAACAACATTAGCATGTTAAACCCATTAGCCTACTGTGACTGAGCCCTCTTGCTGTGCGCTTCAAGCAGGAAATGAGCAAAATTACAATGGCTGTTGTAGGTGGGGTGACTGCACCCATGGGAGCCAAGGAAAGAGGGAAAGCAATTTTGAAAATATATAAAATAATGTGAGAGAGGAAAACACGTCAACACTCACCTCAGTTCTTACCAACCTGCAGAGAGAAAAGCTCATCAAAAGATCCAATCTATCTTTTGTTTCACTTGTTGCTTCATTGCTGAAATGAGAATGGTAATTCAATGGAAAGAGGGAATATTTGTTTTTTTGTTCATGATTCATAAAGGAAGCACACTGTTGTACAATCATATGTGAATTGCTTGGTATTGTACAATGACCTATAAGGCTATGATGGCAGCTGAACATGTTGCTGCCAAGTCTGAATAGTCCAAATGATGCTTTTCTCAAAATATCAAATCAATGATCACAATTGATCCAACCAAACATTTAAGTATGATTTTTGGGTGACGGTAGGCAAAGCTGTGGCAGCTTCTAGTTCGACATAAAATCAGAGCCACCGTTTGGAAGGAAAGGTTTAGGATTTCTTTACATAAAATCCCTTTAGACCATGACATCTCTGTGCTGATGGTGCTTTAAATTGACATGTCTTTTTGCAGAGGAAAAAAAGTTTTAAGCCAGAAATATATCTATTTAAATGTCATGCTCATTGACAGGATGCTCAGTTGTGTCAGAATTCCACTGGGGAGCACATCAGACCAAACACTCAAACACAGCTGACACACTTTAGATTTGTGTTCCATGTTAGATTTGATGACCTCATAACATAATCTTTCATTTTTTCACATGGAAAATAGGTTGTTGCTGTTGAGTTGTAGCTTTGGACAGATTTTAGACAGCTAAAGTCAAATTAAGTTGACTGTTGGATCCAGCGTCACTTTGTCCGCATGCTATCCTGTATTTTTTAATAAATGTAACTGAATAAATGTGTAGTGTTTTTATACACAGAATCTGTCTTTAGAGTTCATTAAAGGCTATAATTCTGTGAAACATTTGATGTAAAACTTTGAAGATACAATTCAGGCAAAAATTAGTCAAAGATGGATTTAGAAACTACAATAACATCTCACTGAGATGAAAGTGTTGTTTATAACTGATACATTTTTGTTGATGCAAACAATGTCTGAAAAGCTGGACCTGATTGCAATCAGACAATTGTTATCCATACGGACTTTTCAGAGTTAACTTTCACCGACAAACCTTCCATTCGAAAATTATATCTACTCACAGACTCTTGGATGCTAAATTCTCAACAGTGAATGAGGTGAAGATAGTGATGGTTTGAAAATGATAAATCAATATTTTCAGCACCTGATTAATCTTTCTGCCAGAAGAAGTCAGGAAGCATCTTTGAAAATGATTTTTGTTCCACTGTGTAAATATGGGATTGATGTTAAAAGCAGCCAAAACAGCGCATCGCTGTAATGGAGTCCAACACAATGGTTGAGGGACAAATACTGCAGCATTACATATTATCTGTGAGTATTCTGCATTGAACAGTTGTTCATTCTACTGTTCTTCATATTTTTTCCTTATTTTTCACCTATACATTTTCAATGTGCATCATTGGATAGATAAAAAAAGACACATTAGACATGTTTGTTGTCTAAATGATGTCATAGGGGACATGTATAACAGGGTCAGGAAGCTGTGCCAGGTAGACAGCTATAACACATAAGTCTGTAAATCACCTCAATCTGTTCGCTCTCCCACATATTTACTGTTGGTCAGCCTGCCAAGCCTGCTGGTGATGCATTCACTTGCACAGCTGACAATCGTAAAAGTGGCAGTTACGCCTGAAATTGATAGGCCAGGTTCAACGGTGTGTCTTCGAATCACACAGAGGTTGATAAATCTTGCATTGCACTTGTGATTGCTGTAACACAAGCTGTTGGAGTTAGTTAGCAATACTTAGTTAAAGCTGTTATTGCCTTTAAAATATCCACTCTGGTTTCTAGTCTCTTAAACTTTCATTGTACACTTTGTATACCTTACAATCACACTCTATGTTTGAAATCAACACAAAAAAACTGTGTAGTCACTAATTTCATGAGGGCCCTGTTCAAGTTTTATAATAGAAATACGATACACTTTCTATGTTTGGTCTTTTTGAAAATACAGTAATATCAAGAAATTAATTATAACAGTGATTTAGTTAAAATGTCCCGTGCAAGTTAAAATACACAAATGCCATGCTCACAAGATTTCAAATTGATGTGTTGACTTGTTTCAATGCAATTTTGCTCAGAGAAAAAATAGTCTTATATTTACCTCAGAGATTCAGGGTTCTTTTAAAGTTCCTGGTCATGATGGTTGACTGACCGACTGGCTGGCTAGGGGCAATAAAGCGTCCTTTCATCTGAGAAACAAACCATAGTTTAAAATACTAAGTGGGTGTTAAAGTTGGAAGCATTTTTGGTGTAACTGAACACTCAAACAGTAAATGGAGAGATGGATGCAGTGGGTGTATATTCTGAACTTTTAGTCCCATGTTGGCCTGCTCTGCTTAACTGGGAGAGGAGGGCTTTATTAAGATTACAATAATCAACATCCCCTGCCTCTGGGCATCACACAAAATTAGAGGATTCTGCTGTCTCCCTGGACACCAGTGTAGGCTCCAAAGCCTCAACCATGCTGAGTGTGCACATTTCAGCCCCCCCCCCCCCCAAATAAAACAGGGATTCATTTGATAGCATTCTGGTTCCTTAATTGGGAAACATCAAACTTTACGTTCGTACAAAATATTTGAATAATCAGAGGCTCATTTTATCAGCATCATCATACAAAATGTATATTTAGTTTCTGATCTAATTTTAATCTAATCAACCATTAATTCAACAGCTATTAAAGGTATAGGTCTATAGTGTTTATAGTTTAAAGTGCTGAAGATGATGCAACAATA